TCAATAATGAAAGTAGAGGCATGTTGAAAAATGGCAGGCCGCTATAAAGCGAAGAGGTTGCTTTGTGCACTACGGTTACACCGAACGAGTATAAATATAGCAAATTATTTTCCCATGAACTGATAAAATCAATAATTAAAACGTGAAAAGAAAGGTACGTATCTAATATATGTAATGAAACGAGTTCAGTGGTTTTAATTAAATACTTCATTCGTTGTTTCTTCGTGTAAAATCTAACCTGAAGTGTTCGTACAATAAGAAGTAAAACAAAAAGTTAGCAAAGAATTTGAAGATGATAAATGAAATCAGTAATAAAAACCATTCCTCTTTATTTTACATACAGATGGTATCGTTCAGTGGTTTAGGAAAAATCGCTATTATTGGAGGTTTCGCGGTTGGAATTACTGGTCTCGTTACTCGATATAGCATTGAAACAAGGATTCGACGAACTACAACTTATAAAAAAGCGCTGGATATATTTTATAATCACGAAAGAGCTGTTAAATATTTAGGTGAACCAATAAAAGAAGGAAGAATAGACTTTGATACCAATAATGAATCTATTAAAAAATTTAGTATTAACGTGAAAGGCGCTAATACAAACGGGAAATTATATTGTGAATATAGTGTTCTGCCAGATCTAAAGACTGAAATAAGAAAGCTGCAAATAAGGTTTAATGATCTTCCTGACAAGGTTTACGTGATCCATGAAGTTCAATGAATACAGTACATAATAATGAAATATATTGTTTTATTTTGTTTCTCTGTTATATTACTGTGGTATTGTTTGAAAGTTTACAAAAGTATCATACTGTACAGACTTAAAAAGAGACCTGACATAGTGACTTAATTGTGCTACGATAGTTTGAATAAAAGTTTTATCTAAATGTCTGTAAAGGCATATCAGTAATACCCTTTGGAACTTTAAGACCTCTTCTGCTATAACCGAACCCAGCTTGAATTATGTGTATGGCAGCCTCAACAGTTAATTGTACATCATGTTGACTACCAATATGAGGATTCAATTCTACAAAATCTAATGCATTCAATCTGTTACTCCTACACACTATTTCCATTAGATGGACAGCTTCTCGAAGTGATAGTCCACCACGTACTGAAATAAAATTCGTTAAGACTTTGAAAGAAATGAAATAAAGTTTAATTGAAATAAATTCATTTCGTTTACCTGGCGTCCCTGTACAAGGTGCTTCCAATGGATCCAGAGAATCAATATCAAAACTAACATGTAATGATTTAGACTCGTCTGGATCTATTTTACTGAGTGCCATGTAAACGACGTCATGAATACCTAAAGAGATCTTCATTAGAATTAGATTATTAGTTTTGGATGTTCATTTACGGTATAGGATATTACCATATCTTTCAACATCTTCCATGCCAAAGGCAGTAATACCAAACTTTTCAATTACTAATCTTTCGTATCGATCTATAGATCTTAATCCAATATAAGCTACATTTCTTATAGACAGCCTATAAATAATTTAAACATTAATCTATCATGTTTTGGAGATTCTATGCTTAAAGCAATAAGTTACATTGGTTGTTGCCAGTCCATTCCTGGAAGATGTGGCCAGTAGTCAGCTAATTCAGAAGTTAATAATGCCACAGGCATCCCATGAACATTTCCACTCTCACTAGTTTTATTCGTATTCAGATCTGCATGTGCGTCAACCCATATAACTGCCACATCCTTTTTTTCCTTTAACAGTATCGCACCGAACACAAGTTTTTAATTAAACGTAGATACAAGTAAACGATAGAATTATATCTTGTGTATACCTTGACATGACCATCTATAGATCCAACCCCTAAGCTGTGATCACCACCAATGGTCAATACTCTTCTACCTTCTTTTAAAACTTTCTGAACTTGTTCAGACAGGCAACTGGTGCAACCAGCAAAATCGCCCAAATAGCTCATATTATTTACTCCATCTACATGTTTTACTTCGTATGAAATGTCACCATAATCTTTCACATCCAAGCCTTGTTTAATTTGAATTATTTAGTTTAAAGATATTTTAGAAATAAGTTGGAGAAACAGGAAATAAAGTTACCCAATAATTCTAATTCTTGTACTAATCTAGCTGCTCTAATTACTTGTGGGCCATGTGCTACTCCTTTTTTTCGCTGTATATAATATTATCAATTGGTTTAGACAGAGTATAGATATTATTTTGTACAAGATAACTATACCTGTCCCTTTTCAAAAGGCACTCCGATTATTCCAACTTTGCCATAATTGCGATTCCCGAACCGGATAATAGCACTTTGTATTCTGTGTAATGTGTTCATTTCGTATCTGACGTTTTTACTCGAAATTTTAGCATAATGTGGCACTGATATATATGCTGACCTATGCCCTCAAGCTGTTGTAATACAGATAACATATGGGATTTGTAATACATAAATGTATTCATCTTGAAATTGAAAGTGCACTTGAAAAAATTACAGAATTTAGTAAGTTTTTTTACAATGTCTTACGTTTATTGATATAAACTTTTATATAAATTATTTTATATAATTAACAAGTACTGATAAAGTATTGTGTATTAAAATTATTAAATTTAATATCACTAGTAGTATAAACATTAAATTACGGAATATACTAATGAACTATCAATATAAAATGATTTTAAGTTTGATAATCGTTATGATTTTTCAAACTTATTTAGGACCAACCATTTTTTCTGGTTTAACCCATTCAGCAAATTGTTCTTCAGTTACACCATTCTTTAATGCTGATTCTTTTAACGTCAAGTTTTCTTTATGAGCTTGTTTCGCAATTGCAGCAGCCTGAAAAAATATGTTATTGAATTGTTAAAATTTATAATAACAAATTTCTTTAAACGCATGAAAGACTATACCTTATCGTAACCAATATGCGGGTTTAGTGCGGTAACAAGCATCAAACTCTCGTTCAGAAGTTTTGCAATTCGGTCTTTGTTCGGTTTAATACCGACAACGCAATTTTTCGTAAACGTAGCGGCGGCGTCACCCAACAATCTTGCAGATCTTAAGGTATTCGCAACTATCATGGGTTTGAATACATTAAGCTCGAAATGGCCATTACTTCCACCGATAGACACGGCGACTTGATTTCCCATTACTTGACAACAAACCATAGTCAAAGCTTCGCATTGCGTGGGATTAACTTTACCAGGCATAATGGAACTTCCTGGCTCATTTTCAGGAAGGGCCAATTCTCCTAAACCACAACGTGGTCCGCTCCCCAAAAATCGAATATCATTCGCTATCTAATTGAAAGGTACATACAGTATAGTGATAATTCGATGCGAATCAAACTTGAATTACGTGTCTTCTAAATACCTTCATAAGTGAAACTGCTACTGTATTAAGAGCACCATGTACTTCTACCATAGTATCCTTACTGGCTAAAGCTTCAAACTTATTAGGGGCAGTTACGAATGGTAAGCCAGTGAGTTCTGCGATCTTCGCAGCTGACTTCTCTGCAAAACCCTTTGGCGCATTTAGACCTGTGCCTACTGCAGTACCACCGAGTGCTAACTGATATAATCTTGGAAGAGTATCCTTTACCCTATTAATACCATTGCAAACCTGTTGCGCATAACCTGTTGAAATTATTTATTGAAGGAAGTAGCACGTAACTATAATTATACATATTGTAAAAGCATTTCAATACCAACCTGAAAATTCTTGTCCTAATGTTAATGGAACAGCATCTTGAGTATGAGTTCGACCAATTTTTATAATATCCTTCCATGCATTGGCTTTTTCATCCAATGCGTCATGTAACTTTTGTAATCCAGGAATCAATACTTTATTGATTTCCAGAGCAACTGCTATGTGCATAGCAGTTGGAAACGTATCATTGCTACTTTGAGATTTATTAACATGATCGTTCGGGTGAACAGGATCCTTAGATCCAAGCTTGCCTCCAAGTAATTCAATTGCACGATTTGAGATCACCTAAATGATACTGACAATTCAGTTGAATGTACTATGCAAATAAATGACATAATTACTTTTTAACAAGTACCTCATTAGTGTTCATATTACTCTGTGTACCAGAACCTGTTTGCCAAATTACTAGTGGGAAGTGATCATTATAAAGTTTCCCAGATATGACATCATCTGCAGCTTTACTAATAGCATCTGCTATTTTTGCATCCATCCCCAATTCTTTATTTACTAGCGCTGCAGCTTTCTTCAATATACCCATTGCAACAATGACACCGTACTGAAAGAATATAAGAGATATATAAATTCCATACATGACTAGAAAGCTTATTTCTTCAAGTATTAGACTTTCTTACAGGCATACGTTCAAAACTATCTCCTATTGGAAAATTTAACATTGAACGCATAGTTTGTGCTCCATAGTATTTGTCAGCAGGGACCTTCAGCTCACCAAAAGTGTCCCTTTCAGTTCGAAATTCACCTTGGCCCTCCTGAAAGTAAGACATTGAAACATCATTAAAATGACAGAACTAAAACTTAGTATATAAAAATGTTTGATTATACCATTGTATGAGAGAAATAAATTCTATAATCGGTCTGAATGAATGTAGCTTTGGGATGAGTGTTACAATTTACAATAGTTAGAGCAGGGGAAATTGAAGGTCAATCAGATGAAACCAGTTGTGATAACATGCATGCATTAATGTGTAGTGGTTATATATATTTGTATAGGCTTTTATGTTTTTATAATACTTCAAACAGCACACGAAATTGTATGAATAAGTATGTAACATAAGGATGTAGATGCCATTATCTTTCTTCATGTAAAAAGATTTTATATTACAAAATTTATCCATTAGCAATTTTTATACGTAAAAAGAGCTAATTCGTCCATACTTTACCATATTTTTGTGCACAATTATATTTACGACGATATTTCCTTCGGAGAATGGAAAATACGTTCCGTTTTACGTGGAATTAAACTGATTAGGTGACAAACACGTCTTCAACTGTTACGTTACAAAGAACAAGGTGACATTTTAATAACACACCGGTAAAATTATTTGTAGGAAGGTAATATCTTTTTCACGATCATTTCTAAAAAACTATTTTAAGAACGAGTTATTCAATGATTATGTAAAAAGATTGTGCGATCCAATTCAAAAATTGAGGACGTGTAAAAATGAGTAAAACAGTAAAGGAAATGTGGATTAGTTAGAGTCCGAGACGTCGTTGTTGTTAAAACTGTTTTTCGTTTTTTAATTCATAATTTTGTACTTTTATACCACAGCAATTGTACCTTCTTCGGGCTTTTAGAAGCCACTGATGTATTTAATGACAGCCTTAATGTTAAGAACGCTGATGATTTCTTTAATTCCAGTAGTCCATGATTAATCAGCGAACATCTCAACAGATTTAACGTCATTTCGGCGAATTTAAATGTTTATTTCTTTTACAATTATTTAGAATTCTAAAGGAGTTAAACGAAGAGAAGAACCGATTATTCAAGAAGGGCAGTAGATAGATGAATACTAGGCACAAAATATGCTGTAGTCAGATAGATTCTGTGTGAATCAAAGTGGAAACGCGAATTTTATTGCAGTTTCAAACAGGAACAGCGACACTACACGCGCGAACGGACAATACTAGTTTATTGATACGCAATTTTCATTCATTTGTAATTATAATTTGTGCTTTATCATTACTCAAAGAAAAGTGTAATCCATCTCGCACTGTAACGAGTTCTCTCGGTCGTTACCAAAATGTGTAATATTTCATGTGCGGAATATCTTAATAAATAAGTTTTATTAACAAAACAGTGTATGTACGTACAATATGACACGCATGAACAAAAACTAACGATGAAGTTTATATATGTTGATATCCCAATTTTGATTGGAGAGCTGATGTATTCTAAAAAAGCATGCATTTTCACATGCATATTATAAACATTAACATTGAATTATTTCTTTTTTGAATGGTTCTACTACTCCGGAGGTTGAATACAATGTTGACCATAGGCGCGAATTAATTGCCGATGAAATTATCGTTGTATTTTCGTCGGTCTAATCATGGAGGTGATGGACTAATCATGGACTCACAGGTCCATGGGTCTAATAAACTTTCGCCGCCATTATATATAATGTTAGGTATACGTGGTCTCTGGTAGTGATATTGCGTTAGTAAACGATAATGAAACTACGGTGTAATATACGGAGAACGTAATTTAAAAATGGATTGTTAACGTGGCCAAGTTTCTGTAACATTTTTTTATCTTATTAAATCTTTCGTTGCTCGGAACAAATTGACAGAGTCGTGGACAGTCATTTGACAATTAAACTGCGCGGCCACGATTATTAAATCTTATAATCCTTTTGTTTTATTAAAAATTGTAAGTCTCATGTAAACAGTACGCGGATTTTATGTGTCATCTGATTTAATGATCCTTATTACATAATATTTGTGCACAAGGGAATGCTATGCCCAAAAAAACGTGGATGAAATTTGTTCGAGTTCGTGTTACAAGTGGTGTCTTTCGAAAATGACTGACTTTTCTTCGTCCTCTACTTTTATGAGGTAAGCGAAACTTTTATTCACTGTCGAACGGATTACGTTATATTGCGATGAAAGAAGAATGCCTCCTTGCGATTACGTACAATTTTATTTACAATATTATACTTCTCATGTTATTATACTTCTCATTTTCAAAGTTTGCAAGGGTATTTTGTCTACTTTTTTAACCTAAACTGGAACGAGTGCCGGGTTTCGCATTCCTTCCTAGCATACTAACAAATATTTATTTGAAATCGTTACAATTTTTTATCATGATCAGTTTTATTTCTTGACACTTGCAGTACATG